ACTCACCTAACTCACCAGAACTTAACTCTTTCCTCTGCTCTTCTGTGAACTAAACTTAAGGCCACTCCTCATTTTCAAGCACCATGGCCTGTGTTCATTCTTTGTCATATCTGTCTTCAGTGTATAATTCTCCTGAACTTCAGAAATCTTCCCTTCTAGTGCCCACAGTTGGAGTTAGAGCTGATCAGGGTTCTGTCTTCTGGATTTGCTCTTTTGTTTCTGTGAAGTCTTCCTGGGTAATCCCTTCCTTCCCAAGCTTTGGGAGCCCATGGCCAGGGATGGGGGTTGCGGGGATCCTTTTCCTCACAACTGTTACCTTAATAGATTAAAAATCTAGAATGATGAAAAAAAGGGGGGAGACCATCTTAAGAACTAGGCTTTTTGGAAAATTTCATTGACCCCTCAGGGTTCATGAATTTTAAGGAACAGGTTGAAGAAAATGCCTTTCACAAAGGTGGAAATCCCAGTGTTGTGTCTTCCCTTAACTTCTTCCTATTATACATATGTCTCCAGATCATCATATCAACCCATATTCCATAATGTTGAAAAAGAAAGAGATGGCAAGAGGGAAATTGGGTGCTGTTCTTTGCTTCTTTGGCTGGTAATTCTGGTAGCTTCTACTTGCAGTTAATTTGTGTGGGCCTTGGAGTGAGTAGAGCTGCTTGGGTAAGAGTCTTGCCTTCATAACTGTTTCCTCAGCCTGTCCCCCGATCCTATGGCCCTGTGGCCTGAGATGGCTGCCCCACTTTTCTTTCCTTGTCATCCCCCTTGTATTGACAGAGTGAGTTCTTCCTTCTGATCTTCCCAGGAAAGAGGACAGTGAGGTCAATTTTTGCACATTGGCAAATACCTTTTTGCCTTTTGTCCTTATGATCTCTCTCTGTCTCTCTCTGTCTCTCTCTCTCTCTCTCATGTATGTACAATTCCATGTTGAAAAATTGTCAGAATTTTGAAGCATTTGCTCAGCACCAACACAAACAGTAATGTTCTGGAGAATCCTATTGCTTTTCTGAGATGTTCCTGTCAGCCATCTAGTAGAATCACTCATCTGATAGCATTACTGATTACCTCTGTTCTTGTAAATGCTATCTATCCCTCTGTCTTCAAGCTCTGAGTGTCTTCTCCTTATCCCCATTATTCTAGAATTTTGTGATTTGGGACATTCATATATGTTTGTGTGTATGTGACATGGGGTGGGGTGGGGATCTGGGTATGCATAGTTGAACTAGGAATTAGGTAGATAATTGGAGAGAAACTTTCCATAGGGTTTTACTTAATCTTTCATCTTTTCTACTCAGATTCTCTTCCCTCATCCTTGAAACGCCTTTTAATCTGTTTTTTGTTCATTTTGGTATGGAAATTTACCTTTATTTATTCCTGAAGCCCCCAGCTTCCTTGGAACTCACTGTGCAGACCAGGCTGGTATGTGCCACCACGGCTGGCCTTATTCCTTATTTTCACCTCTTTCTTTTTTCATTTTTGGAAGAGTTTTTGACTTCATCTTTGCTCTTCTTTGGCTTTAAAGAATTGATGATCCTTATTCTCAGAGGCCCTTTCCTACCTTTTAATTGTTAAGATCATCAGTATCACTTTGTTTTTTATATATGATGTCTTATTTACCTTTTGAGAGTATTGGCCTTGTGACTGTTTTCTGAGCCTTCTGGACCTGCACTGCCTGTTTCTCCAGTCCCTGATTACTTATCCTGTTCTCTCTCTTCCATGCAGAAATTTGCTGCACTATCTGGTAGACCTGCACCCCACACCGTCTCTTTATGTTTAGGAACTGGGCACTGGAAAACTGGAAAAATTCTGCCTTGTGTGCACGGGGATAGTCATGTTGACTGGCAGGCTTGATTGTGACATAATTCCTGGGTGGATTTTCATCAGAAAACTCTCCAAAATGTCAACATCTAGAGATCTTTGTTCATAGTTTCTCCATGGAACCATCTTCTAATGTCCTGTAGTGCTGGTGTGGTATCAGGGTATGAGGGAGTGATAGGCAGGTTGTGCACAATTTGTGTTGTTCTAGAAGCAGGAAGGAAGGGCTCAGCTTCAAGCTTCACTGCAGCCCTCCCCTGAGTCAATATCTCTGGGGTAAATTGCTAGCGTTGTGGGGCAGTGGTAAGGTTGTGGCCGCAGGTGCCTTGTTCAGGCACAGTCCTCACTCCAGACTTCCTGGATACTGTATCCCTTCATGCTGTGAGCCTCCTCAGAATATAAGACTCCCAGCTGCTCTGTCCCCTGCAGGCCACATATCCCTGGTGAACCTTTGCTTTGCTCTCTGAGTTACTGTCTTCCATTAACTTGTTTTCTACCTTCCACAATATTGAAATGTCTTATTTCCTTTAATCTCCTTTCTCTTTGTACACTAACATTTCTTCAGTCCTTTTGAACTTTAGTGGTGGTTGTGACGGGAGGTAAATATCAGGGCTTAGTGTTCCCTGTTTCCCTGGAAGTCACCATGAAGTTTTTCAAAGTTTCTGAGGAAAGTATTTTCATGACAGGGCTTTTTTGTAAGACAGGTGATAACTGTGGGCATTTGGGCAACCACTTATTGCTACTTTTGCACAGGGTCTCCAAACAGCATCAGCTATTTGTCATGAGCTGGAATAAGCCTGCCTCTGCTGACAGAGTGAAATTCAGAGTCCTCAGTTTGCATTTACCAGTCTTCCATTTAGTTCTGCCTCATTGGCACTTCACCTCGCTGTTTGTTGGGAAATAGTCCTTCCATAAACTTCAGTAAGATGTAATGGATTTTTGCAGTGGAAATATTGTTCAAGCTGCAAGACCAAATCACAGCAGGCACTTTGTCTGGGGACCCTGTGTCTAGCAAACCAACCATTTAAAAATGCCAGTTGTATGAAGCCACAAACAGTCACAGCTAATTCCCTTTACAGGAGTTTTATTTGTTTGTATGGAAGAATCACACCACCAAACAAAACAAAATCATTGTTCAGCTAAGACTGAAGAGTTATCTCTGTCAACTCGTGCTTTTGAGTCACCTTACACATTTGATTTCTTCTTTGAGTTAGAGAATGAGGGAGATGGAATTGGTGAAAACTCACATGGTGGGCTTAGTGGACATTGGGGCAAAGAGGATCTTTCACGACTAGGACAGCTGGCCCAGCTCCACCAGGCTAACAGTGATATATAGCCTAATGACTTGTGAAGCCTGGTTCGGGTTGCACCCAGGGCTACACTGTGGGTAAGAGAGGATTGGTTGAGTCAGAGTCCAATGGGAACCACATCCTACCCCTCTGGAGACCTGGTGGCCATGTTGAAGGTTGCTGGACCTCCAATCCTGTAATCAGAGGTTCTGGGTCATGGCTGTACATGGATGCTCATGGAGAGCGTTTATAATCCTTTGCCTAGGCGGTACCCGAGACTCACTGAATCAGAACCTCTGGGGTGAAACACAGGACTAATAGGTGTGTGTGTGTGTGTGTGTGTGTGTGAGAGAGAGAGAGAGAGAGAGAGAGAGAGAGAGATATGAAGGTCAGAGGTGGACACTGGGTGTCTTCCTCACTTGTTTTCGACATTATTTCTGTAGACATGGTCTGTCGCTGGACCTGGAACTCTCTGGTTGGGTAGCAAACCCTAGTTGTCCTCCTGTCTCTGTCTCCCCAGCAGTGGGATGACAGGCACCAACTAAGTCATCTCCACAGCTCTTTAATATTAGTAGTTTTTAATGCTCCAACTAGTGGAGGAACAAGAAGCAACAGCTGCTGCTGTGTTCTATTTTAAATCTCTTTATTGCTACATAAACAAGAAACATTAGTTTTATTTCGAACTAATTTGAATTTGGGAGGAAATGAAAATAATAGCTGTCATGGTTATTTCAGTATTCACTTTTACTTTGCAACTATTTCTATGGTCGGGGGTGTATATTTCTCAAGAAAGAATTTGGATGGACTTGTCTGAATTCAGAATTGAGAGGATTTGGGTGATACTTATCTAACACACTCAGCTCTGAAGGACCTTCAGGCAGAGCTGGTATTGATCAGATGCAATCTCACCAGAGCTCTGTGTCTCTCATGGTCTGTACAGGTCCTGTGGCTGTCATCAGTGGTGAGGAGGACTCTGCCAGCCCACTGCATCACATCAATCATGGCATCACCACACCTTCCTCATTGGATGCTGGGCCTGACACGGTGGTCATCGGCATGACTCGCATTCCAGTCATTGAGAACCCCCAGTACTTCCGTCAAGGACACAACTGCCACAAGCCAGACACGTGTAAGTACTATGGTGGGCTGCTGTCCCTTTTAGTTGGGGGTGGGGGTGGCGGTGGCAGCAGACCATGTAGGCTGGGGTTCTGGAACCTTCTGAGGTGACCTTCCACTTGCCTACCTCCCATTCGCTAGGAGAACCCCTTTTTACCTCTATATGTGGAGAATAGCCTGGGCAAGGACACACTGGTGGGCATAGTCCCTGGGAAAGGGAGGGCCGCAGGTCTGAATCTAGTTCCTTTGTTTTTTTCACCTGGGCTTAGCACGACCCAAGTAGGGAGGGGTGCTCCCATAAGTCAGGGGACACAAAAGAGGCTGGTCTCCTCTATAGACTTGGCTCAGCTGTTAGAAAACATAGCCCAGCTCTTCCTGGACAACAGCCTCCAAGGTCATCAGGAACCCTAGCCAGACCTCCATGGGAGGGAAAGGAAGTGAAGGGCACTGAGTACCTTTGAATGAAAACATCTCTCTAGCTGCCCCTCCAGTGCCCCAAAGTGTGCACTCCCTGAAGATCTATAACAACCTAATCTCCAGGAACCCTCACCTCCCTACCCCACACACGGAGGACCCAGGGAGCCTACTTCCTCCACATTGCTCACCTCCTGTTGGCTACAGCCACTCTCTGTATTTCTTCTGAGCCCTACTAGTTTCCCTTTCAGCTCCTGAAGCCTTGGTGGCCTGTCCTTCCAGCTACTTGCTGTGTCCCCAGGTTCAGTATGCCCAGCAATACTGATGCATAACTTCTCCCTTTCCTACTGCTCCTACCTTCCAGGGAATGGTTCAGTGCTCAGGAGAGTGTAGAGATACTCCTAGAGGGAAGGGACCTGAGGATATAACCTGAGTGACCTATTAGGGGAAGGCCTCACCGTAAAGACAGACTATCAAATTTCTGGGAGGCTGTGTGTCTCCCTTTCCTGCCTCCAGGATTACCAGCAGTGGGTTCCTTTCACATCTCAATCAATCTGGGGTAGGCCTAGGGGAAAATGGTGCATTCTGGTCTTGCTCACCCCCAGGTCTGAGCTCTCTGTGCTGAGGCCATGCTCTTCATAGCTCACAACTCTTGCTGCTCCTCCTGGGTCTTCCTGCAGCAGAGTGGGTCTTTGGTCATCCCATCATCCTTCACTTCATTTTCTCTCCTTCTGAGTTTATTTGGTAAGGGCTACCACAATGAGAGGGACCAGAATAGCATCAATACAAGGCCATTGTTTGCCTCATTATTTAGAATCTGCCACAGTATTTATGAGAGGCTTCCTATCAGTATCAGAGGAAGGATACCTGGGTGCTAGATCAGGGCTGGGTGAAGGGGAAAGAAGGAGGGCTTCAGATAAACAGTGGGAAACAGTGCAAAGAACTAGGCTTGAGCCCTCTCATGCTAAAGCTCTTGTTTCAGATCAGACTTGTTCTGAACTAGCTGGGAGTGGCCAGGAAGGAAGGTCTTCTGCAGTGTTGGTGTCGGTCCAAGCTCACTCTGGGGTTCTGGGGTTGATGCTGAGTTTTTTAGGTTGGCACTGGTACTTGAATTGAAATGTGGTCATTTCTGTGTTGAAAATATATGCGGTTATTATTATTTGAGTAGTTCTTTTCTAAAAGTCACAGTAAACAGTGAATTAGAAATCACTGAACTATTTCTCGCAGAGGAAATATGGTGTTAGGCTTCTGTGAGCCGCTGTACACAATATTTTATCAGCTAATCTATATATAATCCTGCATGCTGCACATGTGTGATTTTGTTTAAGAACACTTTTGTTAATATGTGTGGCTGATTTGTTAACATGGGACTCAACTCATATGCTATAACTCATGGCTGATCAAAGCCCATCTTGCACACATATTACCACTATACTGCGTTTAGGATTATGGAATGGTATTTCTGAGTTATGTTTAGAAGACATTTTAGAGTGAAATTACCAACAAAAGGCCCCATATGTTAAAAAGGTGATCCGGAATAGACCATGAACAGGTCCTTGTTTATGGTATGAAAACTGGAACAAGAACCTTGAAACAGGTACATGTGATAATTATAAAACATTTCCACCTGCCAATTAAAACACGTCCACACATAGCTAGCATACACGTAAGTGTTGCCTTGTCCAGCCTCTGCTGGCAGTGCTCACATAGCTCCACTGAAGGTTTTTGTCATGTTGGTGCCTATCTCCTATGACCATGAGAGGGCTCAAACCTTGGTTTCTGGATTACAAATGAATTTTAGTGAACAGATTCCCAAGTACAGACTCATAACTGACGAGGATCACTGCATTTTCTTAGCACATATTTTGAGATCCTAGTTCAAATTCTGATCTCAGGGTCAAATCTGTGCTGTAGATATCATATTATCTGCACAATTGCAAGATGGGGGTGAATCTGGCATGTGGGAGGGAGGGATGTTTCTTTTGAGCCATCAGAATCTGTGTCCCTTGGGAGCTTGAGAACTGTGGAGAGAGCTCTGGGATCTGGAGAGTGTCCTCTGATGTCAGGAAAAATCTCACAGCCTAGGAGCTACCACACCAGGAAAATAAGGCACAAGTACAGTCTTCTTTCTAGAGCTTTCTCCATGTGTGATCTAACATGGCCTCTCTGGGAGCCAGGCTACTTCTGTGTAAGCAAGAAGATATTAGTAGAGATGGAGAGGAGGCAGGTTTATTGACAAAGACTTGAAGTGGGTCGGGGGGCGGGGCAAACCAAACCTTATTACAAGAAGATCATGGAATGACTCCAGTTGTCAAAGCCCTTTGATACAAAGGAAAATATCTTTTTAGGCTACTAGTCCATTTTGCCCTATCAATATACAGTGGATAACTAATTGTTCTCAGAAAATATGTGTGACCTGATAAGTACTTTGCAGGAGCACTGTAACCAGATTTGGGTATGACTCCAGTGAATCACTCAAGCAGGGGCAGGGAGGTTGAGAGGCAACAGACCTCTAATTCCCAAGGATTTATCAGTTTGGGGACCTGACTCTAAGATACAAACTTGTATGCAAAGAGATACCATCAAAAATAATTAAAGCCGTATGGGCCTTGGCACATAAATAATCATGAATATTTATGCTACTACATACAAGGCTAGGGAGTCACTCCTTTGAGAAGATGGTGAGAAATGTGGTATTAAGAGAGGAAAGCACTCACATGGTAGATTCCAAGGTTCTCTCCACCTGATTCATTTCCTTGTCCCATTATCTTGTGTCACTTGGGAAGGAATTGCAGGAACACGGTGCTACCTGGCTTCAGCCATCATTCCCCAGTCTCTCCAGCAATGGATTAAACACAGAGCATTTGCTTCCTTCACTCTTGTGTTTGTTTGTCATGAGTGGTGGGACCTTTATGACCTGAATGATTAGGATGTTGATCAGCTGCTTGATTCTCTCTTTCTATCTATCTTCAGTCTGGTCCACAGCATTTTTCATTGCATGTCAAGCTGCAAGGATATTTAAAGATCACCTGGTACCAACTTCTTATCAGATGCTTACATCCCCTTGCCTGTGTTCTCAACAAGTGCTCTACATTTGACATTGTCTTTTTTCTGAATTGATTCAGCCTTTCCACAGATCATGAAGGACCTGGACAAAGATGCATCTCCTTTACCTTATGTTTCAACTGAAGTCTGATAAGCCTCCTATTATTTACGTAGCCCACCCCATGATTCTCAAAAGCACTAGGGAATGGATACAGCCCTCATTTTCACACAGCTGAGGGCCTGGAATCTTAGCCTAGGTCCTACAGAATGAGACACCAAAGGACCCATCCAGATAGGTCACCAGGGAGAAGGTGAACGGTGTGCCCGAGGCTACCTTTGCCAGCCCTGTGACAGCTCTGGGCTGCAGTGAGGTCATTCCTTGATGGGCTAGGGCTTGCTGCAATAGGAGCCATGCCTTGCCTTTCCCCACGGTCTGGGTAGAAGGCTCCTTCACTTTCTTCAAGACTCTTAGCTCTCTGGTAGTTCTTTTTCTTGAAACCTAATCTTTTAGTTGAGAAAGGAAACCTGCTTCCCACCCGCTTTCTCCCTTTGGGTCTCAGGTGTTCCTGTTTGTCCTAGTTTCCAGGCACAGTGTCCTTACCTTCTTAGTGTCAGTACCCCATAGCCTATAAAAAGGGATGTCTCCTGTGCCTGGTCCTTCCTTCCACTGTCCCCCTCTGGGGTCATGTCTCTTTGCTCCTTCTGCTCACTGTAAACCTCTTGCAGTACCCTGACGAAGCTGCATGTTCACTTCCATTTCCAGTTCCCTGGAATTGCCACTGTTCTATTTGATCTCTTGGCTGAGCTGGACCATGTGTCTTTGAGTTTCTCTTCCTGAGAGCATTGACTTTTGCTTCTCCATTCAATACCTGTGTAGTGAGGCTTTGTGCTAGGCATTCTTCTAGATTCTAGAAATAAGAAGGAAGGAGAAATGCATGGTTGTTATTCTCGCAGATTGACAGCCAGCCATGGTTAATCCCTAAGACACCCTGTTCCCTGGAAATCCCTGTGGGTCTTGAACATTCTGCCTTTGACTGCTGCTGATGGCTCTCCAGCCTTTATCCCTTCTTTTAAGACTGACAATCCATTAACTGCTACCATATTCAGATTCTTGCCTTGAAATGAATGACACCCTGTCTCCCTCTCTGCATAACCCCACCCCACACCCTTTCCTTCCTCTCATATCATCCTTTAATGGTACCTCATTTCCAACCTTTTGGGAATTCTTCCAAAGCTCACACTTGCAGCATGAGCTTTCCTTTCTTACATTTAACCTATAGCATATAGCCAGTGCCACGCACCAGCCTTGAATGACTTTAAACTAGATTTTAGGGCATTCTGTCACTTCTCAAATATATGTGTCCGGTTTTCCGTTTTCCAATACCTGGAAAACCAAAAGACACCCTTAGGTGTTACTCCCTAGGCTCCATCCACATTGTTTTTTGAGACAGGGTGGTCCATTGTCCTGAAGTTCACCAAGTAGGCTAGACTGGCTGTCCAGTGATCCCAGGAATCTGCTCATCCTCACCTCTTCAGTGCTGGGTTATACTTCTT